TTTCCCCCATCTGTCTTTTTTCATCTTCTGATGATTTCATGCCTTTAATTCCTACACGAATTAACATCCATTTATTAAGAATACTTCTTCCGGTATTCCATTCATTAAGAATTTCCTTCCAGTGTATAAATGCATAATTAACATTCTCAGCAGAATATGTAGACCTAGCTGCATGACACTTATTCAGCAAACACTTACTGAAAACGTACAATGGACAAATATTCATAAGTTATCTATAAAATACTATGCGCAATTTTGACATTTTAACAAAACTGAACATTTCATGTTCCCCTAAATGCACAAACATATTGGTACATTAGTCCACTAATTAATAAAGAAGATAGCATGAAATAGTTTGATATTTGAAGATGGAATCTTAACTTACCCTTTAACATACTATATATATGCTTTGGAAACACATATAAGAGAAATACTTAACATCCTCGTAAGTAAAATGGGGATAACACACATCTTATGGTGTCATAATAAGGACACTTAATAACAGATACATATGTAAGTATTTAGAATAGCACTGTCCAAGAGAACTTCTGTGATGATGGATATGTTCCATATCTGTGATGTTCAATACAGTAGCTGTGGCTACTGGGTACCTGAAATTTGGCTGTGACTGAGGAACAGAATTTTTTTTTTAAGAAATAAAAGTTGATTTAGCATTCAGGTAAAGTCCACCAGGAGATTTTCCTCCAGAAACTGAATTTTAAATTTTATTTACTTTTAATTAACTTAAATTTAAATAGCCCCATATGGCTAGTTGGTTACCATACTGGACTGTGTAGATCTAGAAAAATCCTAGCACATAATATATGTACAATGTTATTTTACTTCTATTTTCCCTATCAATACCAGCATGGTGGCTTTGTGCCTGTAGTTCCAGCTACTTGGGAGGCTGAAGTGGGAATAGTGTTTGAGCCCAGAAGGTTGAGGCTACAGTGAGCTGTGATTGTGCCACCTCTTAGGTGACAGAGCGAGAACCCATCTCCAGGAAAAAAAAAAAAAAAAAAGCACAACAAATTATACCCCATGAAAAACTAACTTATTCACCAAACAGCAATCACAGCATAAAAACAAAAGTGGCTGGGCATGGTGGCTCATATCTGCAATCCCAGCACTTTGGGAAGCCGAAGTGGGAGGACTGCTTGAGCCCAGGAGTTCGGGACCAGCCTGGCAACATGGAGAAACCCCATCTCTACAAAAAATTAGCCAGGCATAGTGGCATGCACCTATAGTCCCAGCTGCCAGGGAGGCTGAGGTGGGAGGATCATCTGGGCCTGCAAGGTCAAGGGGCTGCAGTGAGCTGTGATCATACCACTGCACTCCAGCCTAGACGACAGAGTGAGATCCTGTCTCAAAACAAAAGTGATTAATCAGTTATATATGTGCTAAGTAAGAGCTTTGCATTATTATCTCATTTAATCTTCATAATAACTTTTTGAAGTTGGTAAGCAGGGAAATTAAGCTTAGAATTTGTCCAAAGGCATCCAGCTAGTAAATCAGTAAGCAAATATTCAAACCCAGGTAGTCCAATTCCAGAGACTATGCTCTTAACCATAATGCTAAATTGCCTACATTTTAATGAACCAGTTTATGCAAGATTCATTATATACTCGGTGGTAGTAAAAGTCCACCCAACCAAACAACCACACATACACAGAGCAAATTAGAAATCAAACAATTTGAGCTACAGACACAAAAGTTATACATGGTAACTGGCTGACCCAAAATGAGTCACATCTGCCAACTGGTGTGACCACGTAAATATACCAAATTTGGTGACTTTGCACTTATTAGGAACACTGACAAATTATCATCTCTCTTCCCAGAATAAAATGACTAAAATATAAATCCATATTTTAGAACTAAGAATCTACTTTGATAAGGAGATGGGGGAGCAGAGATTGGACCTAATGGAGAAGCTCAGGCAGAAGTAGTCAATATTTACCAGAGCCCCATGTCACTGTCTACAAGGGATATTTGTTAAGACATCAAACATTTCTGCTAGGAGAAGATTAAACCGGATTCACTGCATTTGCATGAAGCACATCGCTATTCTTATCTCAATTCCAAAAAGGAGCTTAACTCACTTAATGTCTGCAATATTTATGACACAGTATTTATTGTGCCCAAAGCTGGAATTCTTATTCCGGTTCTGCCTGATAAGTCAGAGGAACACTGTACATGGCAAACCATAGAATGCTGAACACCACAGGAACTTCTGGGTGACAGAAAAGCTAATATCTGACCCATTTTCTTTTCTTAAGGAGGAGTGAAGAAAAGACCACTTGGTGACAATGATTTTCTTGGAAGAGAAAAATAAATAAATAAATATTATTATTATTATTATTTTTCTAAGAAAAGACTACTGATCTTTCATCCAGGTCAAAACCATGTATGTAAATTTGCCTCCTCTCAATCCTACATGTCTCTAGTTTCTCTTCAAACTTCATGATCCCTCAGATCGTACAAGCTCTTGGTCAAAGCTAGCACTGAGAGGTACTATTTATTGAGAAATTATCAGTCCAAGATTATTAGGCACTAGAAAATAAACTGCTTTATAGATCTGTAGTAAGTAACTTTTAAAAAAGTAACTTGTTCTTTTAAGCAAGTACAGATGAAAACTCAAACCATAATAAAAACATGAATAGCACCAGTGTTCCAGAAATACTACTGAAGAACTAAAGGCAGAATAGTCAAATAATTATGGCGCCATTATTTTAGCTTTGTCTGACCTGCTGTGTGACCTGGAGCTAGTCCCTTTGCCACTTTATGCCTTTCACTTCATCTCAGTGATAGAGAATTAACTACTATCTTTCTCAGTGGAATAGTGAGTAGATTAAATTATTAAGCAAAATGCTTTGGGCAAAAGTCATATGAATGTTAAATATTATTATTTACAAGCATTCATTTTCCTGGCAGTCCTGTGGGGTTAGGAAGTTATCTCCATTTCATAGATGAGTAAACAGGCACAGGGGGTGAGGTCACATATTAAGGCTCTATTTATTTAGTCCCTGTGGGAAGGGAATAACGCACACCTTTAGCAACCATATGAACTTTCCTAGCACATCCGACACAATCTTTAATGCATTCAATCCTTAACTTAGTGTTGCATCTTTTAACATGCTGTTGATGAAATTGAGACAGCTCTAGAATGGCAACAAGGCTAGAATAAGCAAGGAGGAACAATGCTGTATGCTTTGGGAAAAAGTCATAGAAAAACACAGGTAAGTATGCCAGATACAGCAGCTCATTCCTATAATCCCCACACTATAAAAGGCCAAGGCCAGCAGACTGCTTGAGTACAGGAGTTCAAGACCAGCCTAGGCAACATGGTGAAATCCTGCCTCCATTAAAAACACAAAACATTAGCCAGGTGTGGTGGTGCACACCTGTAGTCCCAGCTACTTGGGAGGCTGAGGTGGGAGAATCACCTGAGCCTGGGAAGTTGAGGCTGCAGTAAGCTGAGATCACACCACTATACTCCAGCCTGGGCAACTGGAGTGAGACCCTGTCTCAAAAAAAAAAAAAGAAGAAAGAAAGAAAGAAATAAAAGAAAAAAAGAGAAACACAGATAAATAATCTCAAGATAAAAATCCACATTATTGGCCAGGCACGGTGGCTCACACCTATAATCCCAGCACTTTGGGAGGCCAAGGTGGGCAGATCACCTGAGATTAGGAGTTCGAGACCAGCCTGACCAACATGGAGAAACCCCATCTCTACTAAAAATACAAAATTAGCTGGGCGTGGTGGCGCATGCCTGTAACCCCAGCTACTCGGGAAATAGAGGCAGGAGAATCACTTGAACCCAGGAGGCAGAGGTTGCGGTGAGCCAAGATCGCGCCATTGCACTCCAGCCTGGGCAACAAGAGTGAAACTCCGTCTCAAAAAAAATAAAAACAAAAAACATCTGAATTACTATTTTCAAAGTTCTGCTTTCACTAACACATAGAGACTTTCAGCCACAGCTATTAAGTAATATGGTTTGCTACAAAAATACTTTGAAAAAACTAAACGTACTCTTATTATATGATCCAGCAATCACACTCCTTGGTATTTATGCAAAAAAACTTACGTTCAACAAAAACCTGCACATGGATGTGTACAGTAGCTTTATTCATATTGCCAAAACTTGGAAGCAACCAAGATGTCCTTCAGCAGGTGAATGGATAAATAACCTGCAGTACATCTAGACAATGGAGTATTTTTCAGTGTGAAAAAGAAATGAGCTATCAAGCCATGAAAAGACATAGGGGAACCTTAAATGTGTATTACCAAATAAAAGAAGCCAATCTGAAAAGGCTGCATAATCCATGATTCCAACTATATCACATGATGGGAAAGGCAAAACCATGGAGAAAGTAAAAAGATGAGTGGTTGTCAGGAGTTGCAGGGATGGGGAAGGATGAATAAGTAGAGTACAAAGGATTTTTAGGGCAGTGAAAATACTCCGTATCCTGTAATGGTAGATACTTATCATTACACATTTGTCCAAACCCATAATATGCACAACAGCAAGAGTAAACCCTAATGTAAACTATGGACCTGGGTGATTACCGTCAATGTAGGCTCATCCTTTGTGACAGTGTCCCACCCTGGTGGAAGATGCTGATAATGGGGAATGCTATACATGTGGGTGAGGAGGAATGTGGGAAATCTTTATACTTCTTCTCAATTTTGCTGTGAACCTAACACTGCTCTAAAAAACAGTTTTAGGGGAAAAAAAAAAAAAGGTTAGGTTATCACTGGCCTTCATATTGGTGTGTCCCAACCAATTCTCTGGGAATGAATATTTGCCCTTTGGGCTGTAACTATTAATAACAACTGTGTACAAAGACGTTGAACTGCAGAATGAACAAGTAGCAACAGGAAGGGTTCTGGAAGGCCAAAAAAGAGCAAAAATACTATTCATATATAACGAGAATGTAAAAGAAGCACAAAGGATTTTTCTGCTCTTATCTAACAATGTCTGATATATTACTTACCCGACTCCGAAGACAGTCAGCCAGGTTTCGACGTGTGAAGTTAGCTGCTGCTGTGGGAGACAATTCATATCCTGGTAGAAGAGATAAAGAGTCATACTTAAAATAAAGCAGAAGGAATAACAGTGCCCCAAATTATTCACTACCCTTTTTCCTAAAGCCCACCATCTTTTGTACACTCAGAGTAAACAAAGCATATAGACTGAGGGGTACAATCCTACTCTAGTCCCTTTCCTCATGCAACAGCTATGAAATAGCTGGTTAGTACTGACAACAATTCTTGGCCACAAACAGAACCAGTTCTATAGTGGAATGAAACTTGTAGCAGTCTTTCTTAAACTATTCATTCATCAACACACTGTGTTTTCCACTGCAGAAGGGACACAAATACACAGGAAGCGAGAAAAAAGAAAGATGTCTTAGATGCCAATTTTTTTAAAGTTTATTTTAAAAAGGATACTGGGGGCCAGGCACAGTGGCTCATGCCTGTAATCCTAGAGCTTTGGAAAGCCAAGGCAGGAGGATCGCTTGATCCCAGGAGTTTGAGACTAGCCTGGGCAACACCGTGAGACCCCATCTCAAAAAAAAATTGTTTTCATTTTTAGGCATGGTGGTATCTGCCTGTAGTCTCAGCTACTCAGGAGGCTGAGTGGGGAGGATCAATTGAGTCCAGGAGTTCAATGCTGCAGTGAGTTATAATTGTGCCACTGCACTCCAGCATGGGTGACAGAGCAAGACCCTGTCCCTAAAAAAATGAAAGTAGGAACAAAAAGGATATTGGGAAAAGAGAGGCTAGAAGTTAGGACTACCTCTGAGTCATAGTTTATTAAAAAAGAATTTTAATGTAACTTTATTAAGAAGTATAATATGACTTTCAAAAGTACAAGCCACAGGAAAAGAACATTTCCATCGTTATGCAATATTTTTAAAAACAGAGTATCTCAAGTGTTAAAACTTCAAAAATAAAAGTTGTCATACCAAGAAAGGTACAATCCAGAGGAATAGCATCAGATGTGCATGTAATAATGCATTCACTTTGGAGCTTAATCCCCCTGTAGAATGGGACCAGTGCCAAAAGGCACAAGAATGATCCATAACTCAGTGGGCCCACACAGAAAATGTCAGTATGGAAAGACACACAGCAGTGTGGTTAAGTAATTGCTTACGACATTTTAAATACCACTGTCAAATTAGGAGAGATTCAGATTAAAATCCTAACAAATATTTATTGAGCAGCAACTATGTTTCAGGGTCCATGCTGAGTGTTTTCACATGTATTATTGTACTTTATCCTCACAGGTCTATTAGTGCATATTAAATCATAATGAAAGCAACCCTTGGCCAGGCGCAGTGGCTTATGCCTGTAATCACAGCACTTGGGGAAGCTAAGGCAGGCAGATCACTTGAGCCCAGGAGTTTAAGACCATTCTGGACAACATGGTGAAACCTCGTCTCTACTAAAAATATAAAAATTAGCCAGGGATGGTGGTACACACCTGTTTTCCCAGGTAGTTGGGAAGCTGAGGTAGAAGGATCACCTGAGCCTGGGAAGTCGAGGCTGCAATGAGCCATTATTGTGCCACTGCACTCCAGCCTAGGCGACAGGAGTGAGACCCTGTCTCAACAACAACAACAACAACAACAACAAAAATAATAATAAAAAAAATTAAAAAAAGAGGCCAGGCACAGTGGCTCACACCTGTAACCCCAGAGCACTTTGGGAGGCCTAGGTGGGTGGATCACTTGAGGACAGGAGTTTAAGACCGGCCTGGCCACCATAGCAAAACTCCGTCTCTACTTAAAATACAAAAAATTAGCCAGGCATGGTGGTGCATGCCTGTAATCCCAGCTACTCAGGAGGCTGAGGCACGAGAATCACTTGAGCCCAGGAGTTGGAAATTGCAGTGGGCTGAGACTGCGCCACTGCACTCCAATCTGAGCAATAGAACGAGACCCTGACTCAAAAAAGAAAAAAAACACACACACAAAAAAAAAAACAAAGAAGGAACCTGGACAAGTGGGAATACTATTCAATTTTTTTTTTTTTTTTTTTGAGACGGAGTCTGGCTCTGTCGCCCAGGCTGGAGTGCAGTGGCCGGATCTCAGCTCACTGCAAGCTCTGCCTCCCAGGTTTACGCCATTCTCCTGCCTCAGCCTCCCGAGTAGCTGGGACTACAGGCGCCCGCCTCCTCGCCCAGCTAGTTTTTTGTATTTTTAGTAGAGACGGGGTTTCACCGTGTTAGCCAGGATGGTCTCGATCTCCTGACCTCGTGATCCGCCCGTCTCAGCCTCCCAAAGTGCTGGGATTATAGGCTTCAGCCACCGCGCCCGGCCACTATTCAATTCTTTACCTAACCCCTTAAACATCTCTAACGATCTGACCATTATCCTAAAGGCAGAAAAGTCAAGCCTGATTATCTGCATATAGATTTTCTCTTTCTTTCCCTTATTTTAGCTCAGTTCTTTAACTTATATAAGAATCTCAATATAGTTACATACACAAAACTGTACTTGGCAATTTTAACCAAATACAGTTTTTGTTCTGTGCACTGACTTTAGACCCTAAAACCCAAGTAACAAACAACTCTTGCTCCTCTTGTTCACTCCTCTTCCTCTCTCAGGACAGCCAGTGAAGTAGTACAGTACCTAATGGACTTCAGAAGCATTACTGACATGCCTCATTTGTTATGCGGGCAAAAAGTGGAACCACTGGAAAAAAAAGCAGAATTCTTGAAATATTCTAAACCTGAGTAAACGTAAGTACCATGTGCTTTATGTTCCTGAATGTCGGGACTAAGCCTTATTCATCTTTGAATTCTCTGAAGTATTAAGCAGAATGTTTACCATAGAAGAGGCCCTCAAAAATATTTATGGAATTGAATACAAATGATAAATCCACTGCCCAAAAAACCATGTGAATAGATCTTTGGTCATTTTACACATGCAAGTATATTCAAATTAAGTTCCTTCAAAGCTCCATATTATATCAGTGCAGTGTATAACATTGTTATTGAACGGTGAAGTAGGTTGAACAAGGCTTTCTCTGCCAGACCACCACTACAAACGTTCCTGGATCAGAGGCCTAGTGGCTAGGATTGTTTGCTAGGGAGGCTTTCCCAGTGGATAACAGTTCATTAGCCCCAGAGAGAGCTCACAAAATACTTCACAAAAGTCCTAATTATCTCTCTAGAAGGAAACCTACCAGAGAGTAAGGTAGAACCCTTTGAAGACACAGTAAATACTTACAGTTAGTTACACAATACTTTAAGTTTACAGAACATTTACATATGTATTATTCATTAGTATTATAATTCATTTTGGAGATAAGGAAAATAAAGGCCCAGAGAAAATAAATGACTTATCACATAAAAAATAGTAAAGCCAAAGTTTACTTAGGTTTTTTAATGCTGAGATTCAGATTGTTTTGTTCGCTTGTTTTGAGACAGGGCAGGGTCTCACTCTGTCGCACAGGCTGGAGTGCAGTGGCACTATCATGGCTCACTGAGACCTTGAACTCCTGGGCTCAAGCGATCCTCCCACTTCGGCTTCCTGAGTAGCTGAGACTATGGGTGTGCAGCACTGCACCCAGCTAGTTTTTTTATTTTTTATAGAGCCAGAGTCTTGCTTTGTTGCCTAGGCTGGTCTCAAACTCCTGACCTCAAGTGATCCTCCCGTATCAGCCTCTCAAAATGCTGGAATTACAGCTGTTAGCCACTGTGCCTGGCCGGATTCAGATACTTTTAAACTCAAACCACATCCTCTGAAATATCTAACACTTAAAAAGTCTGATACTACCATCCCTACCTCCAAGAGGGTGTTAGATTTTTTTTTTTTTTTGGTTGGTTTGAAAAAATTTTTTGAGAGACAGAGTCTTCCTGCCTCCCAGAGTACAGTGGCAAAATCATAGCTCACTGCAGCCTTGACCTCGTGGGCTCAAACGATCTTCCTGCCTCAGCCTCCTGAGTAGCTAGGACTACAGATGCATGCCACCACACTCAGCTAATTTTTAAAAATTTTTTTGTGGCAGGCTGGGCGTGGTAGCTCACACCTGTAATCCCAGAACTTGGGGAGGCCGAGATGGGTGGATCACCTGAGGTTGGGAGTTTGAGACCAGCCTGACCAACATGGAGAAACCCTGTCTCTACTAAAAATACAAAATTAGCCAGGCGTGGTGGCGCATGCCTATAATCCCAGCTACTTGGGAGGCTGAGGCAGGAGGATTACTTGAACCTGGAAGGCGGAGGTTGCAGTGAGCTGAGATCGCGCCATCACACTCCAGCCTGGACAATGAGAGCAAAACTCCATCTCAAAAAAAAAAAAAAATTTTTTTTTTTTTGTAGAGATGAGGTGTCACTACATTGCTCAGGCTAGTCTTAAACTCCTGGTCTCAAGTGATCCTCCCACCTTGGCCTCCCCAGTTGCTGGGATTGCAGGTGTGAGTCATCACGTCAGCCCGATGGTGTTATAACTGCCAACTATCAGTGTTACAATAGTTCTCTGCTCTAGGATTTTTGTAGAAAATCTTTTATGACGGATTAGAATCTTTAGGGTCTGGACAACTTCTTAAACACAGAAATGAAAATATGACCACATAAGTCAAAGAATATTATTTTTCAGTTCAAATTTAAAGACAAACCAATTGTGATAGGCTGAATTTTGTCCTCCAGAAATTCATATGTTGAAGTCTTAATCCCTAGTACTTTAGAATATAACTGTATTTGGAGAAGGGATCCTTAAGAGGTTATTAAATTAAAATGAGTTCCTAATCCAATATGACTGGTATTCTTAGAAGAGGAAATCTGGACACAGTACAGAGGGAAAAATCATGTGAAGACACAGGGAAAAGATGGCCACCTGCAAGCCAAGGAGACAGGCCTCAGAAATCAACCCTGCCAACACCTTAATCTTTGACTTCTAACGTCCACAACTGTGAGAAACACATTTCTGTTGTTTAAGCCACCCAGCCTGTGACTTTTGTAATGGCAGCCCTAGTAAACTAGTAATATGCCAACCAAAACTCGTAAGTCTTACCCACCATTTCGCATCTTATAAAGTTGCACGTTTTTCTGAATATATTCTGCAAACTGTACAGTGTCTCCAGCCTCTCCCACACACAGCAGTAATATCTTTTCACTCATCTTAAACATCTTGTCATGATCTGCTCAAAAAAAAAAAACTGTGTTAGAAACTGCCTTAACAGAAATTGACAGTCATTATTTATGCAACCATAAACAGGTTTATTAATTACTACAGTTGGCCTTCCATATCT